CCGGACGGACGGGCCAGAGGCAGCCGCACTAGAAAAGGGTGGGCGGGTGTCTGGGAAGGTGCACTGGCTCTTCACTCCTCTCCTCCCCCTGCCAGAAGATCCCCTCCAACTTCGTCAGTCCTGAGGACCTGGATATCCCTGGCCACGCCTCCAAGGACCGATACAAGACCATCTTGCCCAGTAAGGACTGGGGGGGGCGGGTTCGGAAGTGGGCCCTGTCCCTGGGGCTGGGTCCCTTCGGAGGGCAGAAGGCCAGAGGCTCAGCCTCACCAGGAAAGATCCCCCTCAGGCGGAGCATCTCCTTTGAGCAGAGAAATACCACGGCCTGGCCGGGAGAGAAGGAGCCGTGGTCACGGCCACAATTCTATCAGACATCTGCCCTGGGCTGGGCTCTGCTTTAACTCCTTCAACTCTAGGCTCACCGTGGCCCCATGACATTGGTGTTATGCTGTTCTATGATGAGGAAACTGAGGGGTGGAGAAGTCGCATAACTGGCCCCAGGTCACACAGTTGGTGTGGCTTTCTGAGGGGGCTTTAAGAGACGCAGATGGAGGGACCAGCAGATGGCGTAATGGTTAGGTTGCTGGACTCCCCCATAGTCGACTGCAGTTTAAGTCCAGGACCTGGTGGCTTAAAATTCACGGTGGCCATGGGTGCGTCCATGCTCAAAATCCTGAGAGGAGAATGGAGGAGAAGGATTACAGTGTGGTCATCTCCCCTGGGCGGTGATTTCTCACTTTCTGTCTCTCTGTCTGTCTGTCTGTCTCTCTAGTGAGCACATGTGCCCTATAGAAAAATAAAAATCTCTCTTTAAAAAAAGCGAGAGATGCAGATGGAGGCAGGGCAGTGACAGGTTGGAGGGGAGGACCTAGGCTGGAGGGCTTGACCTGCCAGCTGCCAGCCCTTCGTATCTCTCCGGGGCTTCTTGGCTCTCTTCCGTTCCTCTCCCACCAGGACGACCCCTCCTGGGTAAACCACCTCCAGCGACTCCCAGTCTTGAGATCGTAGGTCAGTCAACCACACTGGCCTGCCTCCCACTGACCCTCTAGCCTGGCCTCTGCCCACCTGGGCAGCCCAAGGGTGCTCAGCACTCACCCATGGGTGGGGAGGTGTAGCATTGCTCTAGGCCACCAACCGGCGGGGATAGGTCCCTTTGCCTGAGATTCCCCTGGACCCTGAGGTGCCCCGTCCACAACCAGGCTGGCACAGGGACAGCAAGAGGCTCCTCTCCTCTCCTTTCAAGGCAGCTTCCTCATCCCTGTTTGAGTTTGATTTGGAGAAATCTCTACACTCCGGGGAGAGGCCAGCATGCCCAGCAGCTGAGTGAAATCCGAGAACTAGTCCCACTTCGCCACTGTGTGACCTCAGACAAGTTACTCATCTGAATCCCAGATTCGCCATCGGAAACAAATTCTTCCTCCACAGCGTCTTTTTTTCCGTTCTTATTGGTACAATCCTATTCTATCCTTTATTCATCTTTTTTAATTAATTTATTTATTTTTAGAGTTTTTGCCATAGGGCACATGTGCTTGCCAGAGAAAAAGAGGGAAAGTGAGAAATCCCCCCGGGGGTTGGGGGCAGCCGCACTGCAATCCCTTCTCCTCCATTCTCTTGTGTCTTAGGTGCACATGCACATGTGCCCGGTGTGATTTCCAAGCCGCCGGATCTGAGCCGTGGTTGGCCATGTGGGAGTCCAGCACCCTAACCATTATGCTACCTGCTGCCCCTACCCTATTGAGGCTAGACTATTACAGTGCGTTCCTACTTGGTATCTGTTGGTCCATTCACTTTTCTCCCTAGCCCATCCTGTACAGCACTCACCCTACACAGCCCATCCTACTCAGCTGAGCTTCCCAAATTCTTGCTTTGGTTGTTACTCTCCTGCTCAAAAACACTCTGTGGCTCCCTATTTTCTACACATAAAATAATGAGATAGGCCTCAGATCACCTTCTTTTTTGTTTTTTTTTTCTTAAAGAATGATTTTATTTTGGGGGCCAGCAGGTGGTATGGTGGTTAAGGTGTTGGACTCCCACATGGCAGATAGTGATTCAAGTCCCAGACTGGGCAGCTTGCTTTCTCTTGCTCCCTTTCTCTCTCTGCCTCTCTGGTCAAATTAACAATTAATACTAGTAAATTAAATTATTCTTTTAAAAAATTCTCCCCTAAAAGAATACAATAATAGGCAATAAAAATCATTTTGAATCAGTTTTTATCCCCACACCACCAAAAAACATCACAAACACCCATCTGAAGAAATAATCTTCAGTCACAATGGCACGAGCTACCAATATGCTGCTGCTCAGAGGCTGAGGCCAAATCCAACTCCCAGCTCAATCTAAACAGGCTGGGCTCAAAGGTGTGCACCTGCAGTCCTAATAACTGGGGAGGTGAGACAGGAGAATGGTGACATGGCAAAACCCTATCAGATATCTGTCGCTCTTTGAGAAAGTGAGAAAGCAAGCCGCCAAGTCCAGGACTCAAACTATGGTCAGTCATGTGGGAGTCCAGCACCCCAAGCACCATGCCACCTGCTGGCCCCCAGATCATCTTCTCTACACAAAGTACTGTGATGGGCACGGGAACTCTCTTTCTCGTCCTCTTAGCGTCCACACTGGTTGGCCACATTTCGGATCTGACATCCTCTGATTGTACTTCCTAGATCCCCAGAGCCGAGTCTGTCTCGGCCGCGCACAGAGCCAGGAGGACGGAGACTACATCAATGCCAACTATATCCGAGTGAGTGGCCGGCTGCGTGGTGCAGGGGTGGTGCGGGGGGCCTGTATTTGAAGATGTCAGAGAATACCTTCCACCTGCAGCTGGCGGCTCAGGTGCCGGGGTTTCCTCCCTGCCCCACAGCCCTGCCAAGCGGGGAGGGACATGGAACTGGCCCCAACACACCAACCAAGCATCAGTGTAAAAATGTCTTAGAACAACCCACCAATCTCTTTTTTTTTTTTTTTTTTTTTTTTTTTTTTTTTTGCTCGCTACAGGGCGCATATACTCACCTGAGAGAGAAAGAGGGAAAGTGAGAAAGTACCCCTTGAGGGGGACGGCCACTTCACGGTCCCTTCCTCCATCTTCCTCTTGGAATTTTGGGCTTGCACACACACATGCCCGGAGTATTTTTCAAGCACCAGGTCCAGGACTTGAACCATACAGCTGGCCATGTGGGATCCACCACGCTGCCAGCTGACCCCAAGGCCACCAAGTCGCTTTAACCTACCCTTATCAACCCGTCCACATCGACCCTCTCTAAACCTGGCAGGAACTTAGCATCTGGGTTTTGTTTGTTGCTTTTGTTGCTTTAATTTTATTTCTTCCATGTGTGAGAGAGGGGCAGCACCCCCACCTGGGTCTTTCCCGTGGCCTACTCCCGGTTTCAGCCAGCTGCGGGCATGCATGCACAGGTGTGTGGAGGCACCTCCAGACTCAAGCCCGAAATCTTTCCTCATGGCTCCATCATCAAGGCTGTTGATTTGGCTCTGCACCGCCCCTGCCCACTGGGGAGTTCGCATCACCGAACCCGACCCCTAGCTTCTGAGGGCCAGTTGTTCCTGAGATCCGCATGGCACGGGAGATGCCTGCACGAACGGAGCTCTCAGATCTCGCGTGCTTACTCCCTCCCTCTCTCACCTCCCCTGCCCCACGAGGAGCCCCTCTTTTGTGGAGATGGGTTCCCTAATGTCAAGCCATAAGAACTGCAGGGCGAGGTGGTCCTTGAACTCTCAGCGTCTCAACTCTGTTAGCTCTAGGCAGATGTAGAAGCAGCGCTCTCTGGTAGCTCCAAGTGGGGAGGGCAATGGTCAGGAGTGCAGAGAAGAGAAAAGCCCTTAGCCAGGGAGGCTGTGAGGAATGTGACCGACCATCTGCTCCAGGCCAGAAGTCTGGGTTTCACTTTCATCCGCCCCCTCCCAACTTTTAACATGCTTTATTGATTTAGGAGCCAAACAAAGCAGCATTTGGTTGGTTAAGAAAGACGCCTTGTTGACAATACATCACAGTGCTGTCGAGGGACCCCACAGAGAGCTCGAGGATGGAAAGGACAACCTTTGGATGATATGGTTTAGGACACGCCCTCATTTCTTTAAAAGGGTCCCTCTGCTGGATGAGAGAAGGCAAGAGCTGAGGTTGCTGAAGGGGAGACAGTGGGCTGTACTTTGCTACTAAATATCTAGTGGCAATACTTAAGAGTGAAACATTTTTTCAACAAATACTGAGCCCTGTAATGCACTTTGCACGGAAGAAAGCAGCAGAGAAGGAAGGAAAAAAACATCTAGACACAGCAGCTCTTGACTCAGTATCAGGATGGATGTAATCCACATTATAATCCCGCACAATACTTTTTTTTTTTAATTAGAAAGAGAAAATTTGGGGAACCAGCAGATGGCATAATGGTTACATTGCTGGACTCCCATGTAGTCAACTGTGGTTCAAGTCCTGGACCTGGTGGCTTAAAGCTCACGCCAGGCGTGTGTGCATGTGTGCCCAAAATCCCAAGAAGAGATTGGTGGAGAAGGGATTGTGGCATGGCCATCCCCTCTGGGGGGTGAGGGGGTGATTTCTTGCTTTCTGTCTCTCCAGCAAGCACATACACCCTGAAGCAAAAATCTCTCAAAAAAAAAAAAAAAAAAAAAAAAAAAAAAAAAAAAAAAAAAAAAAAAAAAAAAAAAAAAAAAGAAAAAAAGAAAGAAAGAAAGAAAGAAAGAAAGAAAGAAAGAAAGAAAGAAAGAAAAATTTTTGGTGGAGTCTTGTGGTGTCTCGATAGTTCTGCCCCAGCCTCCCAATTAGCTAGGATTCCAGGAATGCAGATCCCAGGTACTCCCCACTGTATGCCTGTCATCCAGCACCTTAGGTTGGCCCAGGGACTAAATCCAGGCCTCCCCTATGACTTCCAGCCTCCCAAACAGTGGCTCTACCTGTGCGTCACCGTGGCTGAGCCAAAATAGACATTACGCCCAATTTACAGATGAGAAAACTGAGGCCAGCAGAAGCCGGGTGCCTTGCTTAGAGTGACACAGCTAAGAAATGGCAGAGCAGAGATTTTAACTGAAATGTTCCTCAGTCCAGCACTCGTCCTCTCCACCCATTGGCTTCTGGGCTTCTGTGCCTGTGAGTGTCTCCGTGTGAGTGTTCACAGCCGGATCCCTGCTCCTGGGGAGGCTGGGTCCCCAGCTCTCCTCTCACAGCTGCCCCCCTCCTCCAGGGCTATGGTGGGCAGGAGAAGGCCTACATCGCCACGCAGGGCCCCATGCCCAACACCGTGTCGGACTTCTGGGAGATGGTGTGGCAAGAAGAAGTATCCCTCATTGTCATGCTCACTCAGCTCCGGGAAGGCAAGGAGGTAGGAGGCGGAGCCATCCTGGGTGAGCTGAGAAAGGACTATGCCCTCACCCACCACCCACACATTTGCACACGCGGGACTGCTCAGGACCACAGGCCTCCTGGTTGCTGAGACCACCTACAGCTAGCCAGCTCACATCTCTCAGAAAACTCCCCAGATTAGACTCCAGTGAGGCTGTCCGCAGCCCGGATATGGAATGGGGCAGCACTTCTGCAGGGGGCAGTATCCGGAGAGCCAGGGCCAGTTGCTGACTCGCTCCAAGCGGGAACCTGTGGGGATGGGAGGAGGGAAGGGGACACCACCTCCTTTCTGCTGCGCTGGCCCCTGCTCCACTCTGACAGATCCTCCCCTCTGACTCCCAGCTCCCTCCCTCCTAGAAATGTGTTCACTACTGGCCCACAGAAGAGGAGACCTATGGACCCTTCCGGATCCGCGTCCAGGACGTGAAAGAGCACCCAGAGTACACTGTGCGGAGGCTCACCATTCAGGTACTGCCCCCAGGCCAGCTGCCCACAGGGAAGCCATGCCTCCCCCAGCAGCTCAGGAGCTCAGGAGCCAGGGGCTTTTCATCTACACCTCCTGAGCGCCCATCTAAAGAAGTGCATGAGCCACAGGGGAAAGACACACTGGGCACTGTCCTCAGGGAGCCTCTAGTCTAAAGGGCAGGGCCAAGAAACCAAATAGGAACCAACAGGAAGTGCCATCTATCTGTGCGCGGTGGCCAGGGCTGGTGGGGACGGCAGAATGGGGAGCCCCACTGCAGCGATGAGAAGGCCTGATGGAGGTGTATGATAATAACACATGCAGACGTGCGCTAAACACGCCGTTCCTTGTTGGGTGTTCTTCAACAGCGTTCAAGGCATTTCTCTACCAACTCGTTCTCCTCCGACCAAACCAAGGAGTAAACCAATGAGACATCACTGGCCCCATTTCTTTGGGGAAGAAAATGAGTTTAAGGGTTTTGCCCAAAGTCATGTGCTTGTTAGAGGCAGAGCTAGGACTTGAACCTGGGCCTTTCCCCTCTTCCAGGACAATGTTGCTTCTAGCATTTCGGAGACCAATTTGGGGAGGATTGGCCTTGCTTGCCCTGAGTCAGTGACTCTCCCACGGGGTATTCCCAAACTTTGCCAGACTCCTTTGTGCCCTGATCCCTGCTTCTCAGACCTGTCTCTGTCCTAGTACCAGCAGGAGTGCCGGTCAGTAAAGCACGTCCTCTTCTCAGCCTGGCCTGACCACCAGACCCCGGAATCAGCCAGGCCTCTGCTGCGCCTGATGGCCGAGGTGGAGAGCCCAGAGACAGCGGCCAACACGGGGCCCATCGTGGTACACTGCAGGTGTGTGGCTCTCCCTCCACCACAGTCTGGGATGTGCTCTCCTCCCCTGCCTGCTGGGCCTCTCTTGGGAAGGGATCTGAGCAGGACACCATCACGCATGCCCCGTTCCTACTCAGACGGGCCTCACTAGGTCATAGTGAGTGCCCTGTTCTCAATCCCTCCTTTATGCAGAACCTGGAGGTCTGGGCTGCACAGCGAGGCATGATCCAGAGAGAGGGCAGAATATCAGGAAGCTCCCAGTCTGCTGGGGAGGAGCTAAGCATGGCCCCTGCTGTTACAAACTCATTGATTCCGTCAACAAATATGTATCGAAAGCCTATTATTATTAGGCACAGGGTTAGATGCTTAAACAGTGTGATCTCTTCCCCGGTGGGGGTGTCTGGTGGGAAAGAGCAGGTCACACCACTGAATACGAGACAGTAGGACGAGAGCTGCGATGGGGCAGCACGAGGAGCCTAACCCAGACTGTGGCCAGAGGAGACTTTCCAAGGAAAAGGCCATCTGAGTGAAGCTCAGACCTCAAAGGTGCATGAGCCAAATGAAGAGGAGAGAGGGAAAGCCTTCCAGGTGGATGGACCAGTATCTGCAAGGCCAGAGGGGAAATGTTAAACTGATACATTCCTGGAGTCGACCAAGAGAGTGGGCCTGAGGTCATGTGTGAGGGGCAGGACGAGCAATGAGCCTGGGCAGCCAGGGAAGGCCGGGAGACGAGGGGCTTGTCGGACTGGCTGAGACCTTTGGATTTGCCATTTTATCTATTTATGTTTTGGAAATGATTTATTTCATTTTATTTGTTATTATTATTATTAATTTTGACCAGAGAGAGGGAAAGTGGGAAAGCAAGCCACCAGGTCTGGTACTCAAACTGCAATCGGCCATGTGGGAGTCCAGCGCCCTAATCACCATACCACCTGCCAGCAAGTATTTTATTTTCTTTTTAAATATTTGCTAGAGGGTACATGTACTTGCTGGAGAGAGAAAAAAAAAAAAAAAAAGAAAAGAAAAGAAAGAAAGAAGGAAGAAAGTGAGAAAGCACACCTCCATGGGGAATGGTCATGCTTAAATCCCTTCTCCATTTTTCTTTCCGTGATTTTGAGCATGTGTGTACATGCACTGGCATGTCTCTTAAGCTGCCAGTTCTGGGACACTAACTGTGCAGTCAGCCATGTGGGATTCAGCCACCTTAACCACCCCGCCACAGGCTGGCCCGGATCTGCCATTTTAAAAGAATCCTTTGGCTACAGAGTGAAAGGTGGATTGGGCTGGGCTGGGGAGATGCGTGATGCAGGGCACAGGGCTGCAGACAAGACCATTTGAGAGTACAACTCCTAAATAAAACAGGCACAGAGACCACAAGGACAGACGGGGGCTCATGAGCACGCCCCAGATGGCGCTGGACACCAGGCTGGGGGTCGTTATTGGCTTCCATTAGGGGCTCACACGGGAAGGCTTGCAACAGAAGGGACAGCCCTAGAGCTTTTTTTTTTTTTTTTTTTTTTTTTTTTGAGAGGTTTTCGCTATAGGGCGCGTGCGCTTGCCAGACAGACAGAGAGAGACAGAGAGACAGAAAGCGAGAAATCACCCCCAGAGGGGATGGTCACACCACAATCCTTTCTCCTCCATTCTCCTCTCGGGATCTTGGGCACGCATGCACATGCGCCCGGCGTGAGTTTTAAGCCACCGGTCCGGGACGCGAACCGCGGTTGACTACGTGGGAATCCAGCGACATAGCCATTACGCTAACTGCTGGTTCCCAGCCCTAGAGCATTTTAAAAGAGAGGGCGAGATCTCGCAGAACACAGAGAAGACGGTGTGGGAGGGAACCAGTAGGAAGCAGAGGGGCTGGTGTGGGCAGCTGAGGAAGGGGGACTGAGCTGGGAGGAAGTCACAGTTAGATAAGGGGGCCCGAGGGGTGGCTGGCCCACAGAAGGGGACCGTTGGAAACCACTATAGAAACCACTATAGACTACTGAGCAGAAGAGAGATCATCAAAGCATCCACAGGGACTGGAGATGACCTGGAACAAATAGGCTTACAGTGAGGTAGTGTGAAATGACAGCTCCTCCAGGGCCGGCCACCTGCCCCCAGCAGAACCCCAAGGGGGTGGAACCAAACACATTGCCACAGTTCTCCATCCCCGTAGCCTCAGCCCCCAGATGGAGGGGCCTTGGGACCCTTCTCAAAATACTCTGGAGTCCAGCCTCCACATTCCTTGTCCCCCTGTGACCTCCCCACCCCCTCCCCGGCTACCTCCAGTGCAGGGATTGGCCGGACCGGTTGCTTCATTGCCACTCGGATTGGCTGTCAACAGCTGCAGGCCCGAGGGGAAGTGGACATTCTGGGCATCGTGTGCCAGCTGCGGCTTGACAGGTGGGTCTGGGGTATGAATAAGACCAAGAACATTGACCAGTGGCACAGGTGACTCCTGGGCGCCGAGCACGTGGGGACGCACCACCATCAAGCACTTTCTGCTTGATAAAAAATAAGGCCCTTTTGCTTAAAGAGTTATTTATTTTGCTGTTAATACCCAAGGGAGAATCTCTATCTGGATTTTTTTTTTTTTTTTTTTGGAGAGATTTTTGCTGTAGGGTGGTATGCTCACCAGAAAGACAGAGAGACAGAAAGTGAGAAACCACTCCCCGGGGGGGATGGCCACGCCGCAATCCCTTCTCCTCCGTTCTCCTCTTGGGATCATGCATCCGGCATGAGTTTAAGTCACCCAGTCCAGGACTTGAACCACAGTCGACTACATGGGAGTCCAGCGACATAGCCATTACACTAACTGCTGGTCCTTCTATCTGGAATTTTAGCCTCAGGGCCTAGAACAAAATATGCCACTCTGTGAAATTGCTCTGAGCCTTCACTCTTTCTGTTTTTGCTTTTCCCAAATTCTCTCCTTAGGGGCAAGTTGAGAAGTAGAGTTTGGTGGGTTCTAGACACCAGCCAGATGTAGGCGATATGCGGAAACTCACTGGGGTTGCAGACAGGGCAACCAGGAGTCACGCTCTGTAGTGTATTCCACAGAGTTGGCACAAAGGGACTTCAAAGAATTTCTGGAGAAATGGAATTACAGTACAAGTTGACTCTGTTGCAGAGAATGTTGAAATTCAGTTTTTTCATAGTACTCATTTTCCGTGAGCTTTCCGAAGCTGGTATCTCTCTGAGCCGCCATTTCTTTATCTAGGGAGAGGTGACAGCTCCTGTCCCAGACAGCTGCTGTGAGAAATGACTTAACCTGCCCAGAAGTGTTTTGGAAAACAGGAACTACTATACAGATGTATGAATAAGTGTTGTTACTTTTAAGTTATTGGGAAGAGAAAAACTGGAGGTTCAAGAATATTCCTTTCAGATATCTGGTCTTGCTCCAGGAGCTGAGTGGGTTAGGGAAACCAAGGTTCAGTGGGGGCATCTCCCCCTTGGCATGCCCAGCCGTGGGCTCAGCCCTAGCAAAGGGCAGAGGGGCTTCCCTCTCGGGGGAACCTGAGGGCAGCAAGGAGGAGGAGGAAGCAGAGAGGATGGTCCTATGAAGGACTGGCATGGTCTTTGGAAAATTTGGAACTTTCCCACCAGGCCCACGAGGATGTATGTCCTGAGCCATCAGTCAGCGCCCAACTTCCTTCGCTCATGGCCGTGTGTTTCTCTTTGCAGAGGGGGCATGATCCAGACCTCGGAGCAATACCAGTTCCTACACCACACTTTGGCCCTCTATGCAGCCCAGCTGCCCAAGGAGCCCAGTCCCTGACCCTGGACCCCTCCACCAGCCCAGGTGCCAACCTCCCCTCAGGCCTGGGACGGTGGATCTGGGGAGAGTGTGTCATGCGATCTGGGGGAACCTCCTACAGGCATGGGGAAGGGGTGCCTCCTCGGTGGCACTTGTCACAGGAACCTACGTCAGCAAGGATGAGGGCTAGACCCCGAGTCTTCACTGCAGGCCACTCTGCTTCTTCTAGAGGCTGCAAATGGGTAACAGGGGCTTCCCAAGTCTGTCTGAACTCAGTTAGGAGCCAGCACTCGCTGCGGGCATAGGAGCTCAGGGCCCCCGCTGCCTTGTCTAGGACCTGGATGTAAAGTGCTTTGCTGCCGTAAAAGAAAGCAACCAGAGAATCATTCCTAGAGACCATTCCAGCTGGATCTCCTTCCTGGGGCTGGCCAGAGAGTGATCCCAAGACCGTCCTCCACCCAGGTGCTCCCACAGGCCAGATGCAAGACTTGGGCGAAGTCTGGTCCTGACTTCAGTCAGATTCTCAGTTTCCCAGCAGGGATGCTCTGTTCCCCCACCACACATCTGTGAGGGCTGGACAGCACCCTAGAAAAAGAGAACCAGCTCCCAGATCCCCCCTGCTTCCACACGTGTCCTAAGAGCAGGCGACAGCTGCTGCCAGGCCTGTTGACATCTCGGGAAGAGGGAACATGTGGGGACCACTCAGAGGCCAGGAGGGCTGCCCCTGCCTCCATAATTGCTCCCATGCACCCCAGCTCCTCTCTGGGGAGGCCCAGTGTTCTCTACTTTGCTCCCACGGCCTCAGAGGATAGCGAGGTACCCAGGATGAGGAGAGAAGAGAGAGCTGAGACTGCTTTTCGGTAGCCAACCCTGTGGCTCCTTCCACACCCCGCGTCTGCAGAGCACACCCGAGAGCCTGGTGTTTCCACAGACAACCAGGGTTATAACCACTCATGCAGACTCGGGCTCAGACTACACTGGGACCCCTCGCCATGTACCCCAGAGGGCTAACTCTCCTCTTCCCTCTCAGCAGCACCTCAATTTCCCCAGATCTTTTCCAGAGCAGAACTATACACCCCAGGAAAGCTTCCAAAATACTTCCTTGAATCCGAGAGGGGCTCCCGTCCCCTCCTATCCCATCTTTAGATGAGGATGAAGGTAGAGTACCATGTCATCCTCACGGATCCCAGTTCTCTGTGGAAGCCCCCAGGAGCTGGATCCTGCAGAGCAACTGGGCCTCCTCCTTCACGGCATCCCTTCACAGACCATGAGTGCTAGACTGAGGTTGATTTTCCTAATGCTTCTGCCTCCCCCTGCCTTATGGCCCTGGGATGGGTTTGCCTGCCCCTACACCTTCCCTAAGCCCAGTAGAGGCTCTGCTAGCTGTGCCTAGGAAGCTAGGTGGAGGGCTCTTAAGTGCCTAGTCCTGCCCTCAGCTCAGACGCAGCCTGCAGGGAAGCAACCACAGAGCCCCCAGGCTCCCCTCCCAGGCTCTGTCACTTCAACCCCGATTCGAAGCTCAGAGGACACAAGCCCTGGAAAAGTGGCCAAGTGGGAAAATAAAGACATCTTGAAAGACTGGCCCATTCCTTCTTTCCATTTTCTTCTTGGGCCTCTGGGGCCTCTTTGCAGCACTAGAGAGAGAAGAGCTTCTGTAGACTGAGAACAGGCCACAAACCTTTCCCTCTGGGATATACACCTTTCCAGCACTTCCATGGAAAGCAAAATGGCAGTCCACTCAGGAAGGGAAACAGACGTGTGCTGTCCTGGTCTGCTCAGATTGCCGTAACAAGATAGCGAGACCTACGCGCTTAATGAGGAATAAGGATTTCTCACAGTTCTGGAGGCTGGGAAGGCCAAGAGCAAGGGGCCTGCAGTCTGGTGAGGACCCACTTCCTGCTCACAGGCAGGCCCTCCTCTCTGTGTCCCCTCATGGTGGCCAAGGTGTGGATTGGCCTATACTCATGCTCACATTCTCTCTCCTCTCTTTTATTTATTTATTTTTAATTGAATGTTTCTTTAAGAATTATTTTATTTATTTAAATTTGACCAGAGAGGAACAGAGAGAGAGAGAGAGAGAGAGGGAGGGAGGGAGAATGAGGTCGGGGACCTGAACTGTGGTGGGCCATGGGGAGTCTAATGCCCTTAACCACCATACTACCTGCTGGGCTCCTTTCACCTCTTTTACAAAGGCACTAATCCTATTCATGAAGGCCCCACCCTCATGACTTCACCACCTCCCAATACTGTCCCTGTGAGGACCTCAGCATATGTATTTGGGGGACATTAGCATCATAACGCGCTCCTTAGGAGGAAGAGAGACGCTTAGAAAGGGCAGAGACTGGGAAGGTGGCGCTTCATAAGCCAGACTGCCATACTGGTCTAGGACCGTAATTAACCCACCTTGGCCTTGTGGGATGACTGGGAGTCACCCAGCTCTTGGGCAGGGTTGGCAAACACCCTGATACTGATATTACTAATGTGTTCGCCTTCAGCGAAGACGACTATCTGCAAGGACGTTTGAAAATGAAGCCCAGAAGCGTGTCCCCCTAGCTGGAGTCTGTGCTGCGGCCTGGGACTAGCAGGGTCCAGCCCGCAGGTGAACAGTACTCCATGCCCCCCTGCCCCAGCAGTAGGCCTGTGGTTAGCTCCTACGAGGGGGGTCACCGAGGACTCCTCCAGGGGCCCCACAGCACCCGCCATCCGTTCTCCTGAAGAAAACTTTACCCCCCATCACGATGGTGCCTGTTTTGGCGTCACGGTGACTCTAGTTCAACTCAGCAGTCAAGTTCAAACAGCAACCTCGCTTCAGGCCCGTCTCCCTAAACAAGCAGTCTGGACAAACTGCTTCACAGAACGAGAAGGAGCTTTTAAGGCCCGAATACAGCTGTCAGTGCCCGCTGGGCATCCTCGAGAGGACAGGGCCCAGCCCAGAGATGCTGAGACGGGGTTCAGGGACAAAAAGCCTCGATCTGCCTCTTTCATGGAGGGTGCAGCTTTGTGTCGCGGAAAGCGGGCGAACCACCCTTGCCCAGGCTGGAAACGCTCTGGAAAGCGGGACCTCGCCCACCTCCGGCCGACTCCCCTTTAAGAGAAAGGGGGTGCCAGGCAGGGCGCGGCCGCTGCAGGCCTGGAAGACAAAGTAGGCCCCGAGCGCCCCTCGACGTCTGCTGCCCGCCAGCCTCTGCCCCAGAAGCCCCAAGGCTCCCCGCCTGGCCAGCAGACGGGGC